GCATGATGCTACGACCCCCATGCTTCACAGTAGGGATGGTGTTCTTGGGATGGTACGGTACTCATCATTCTTCTTCCTCCAAACATCGTTAGTGGAATTATGACCAAGGTTTTCTATTTTGGTCTCTTCTGACCACATGACTTTCTCCCATGACTCCTCTGGATCATCCAAATGATCACTGGCAAACTTAAGACGGGCCTTGACTTGTACTGTTTTAAGCAGGGGAACCTTCCGTGCCATGCACGATTTCAAACCATTACGTCTTATTGTATTACCAACAGTAACCTTGGAAATTCAGGTCATTGACCAGCTCCTCCTGTGTAGTTTTGGGCTGATTTAGGATCATTGAGACCCCACAAGGTGAGATTTTGCATGAAGCCCCAGTCTGAGGGAGACTGACAGTCATGTTTAGCTTCTTCAATTTTCTAATGATTGCTCCAACAGTGGACATTTTTTCTCTAAGCTGCTTGGCAATTTCCCCGAAGCCCTTTCCCGCCTTGTGGAGGTGTACAATTTAGTCTCTAGTGTCTTTGCACAGCTCTTTGGTCTTGGCCATGTTAGTAATTGGATTCTTACTGATTGTATGGGGTGGACAGGTGTCTTTATGCAGCTACGACCTCAAAAAGGTGCATCTAATTTAGGATAATTAATGGAGTGGAGGTGGACATTTTGAAGGCAAATTATCAGGTCTTTGAAGGTCAGAATTCTAGCTGATAGACAGGTGTTCAAATACTAATTTGCAGCTGTAACATATAAATAGTTAAAATAATTCATACATTGGGATATTATTTTAGATTATGTCTCTCACAGTGGACATGCACCTACAATGACAATTTCAGACGCCTCCATGATTTCTAAGTGGGAGAATTTGCTAAATAGCAGGGTGTTAGATTACTTATTTTACTCACTATACAAGCAAAATAAAAAAATTCCATAAAAATGTGGTTCAACAAAAAAGCATCAGCACAGGTTTAAAAAACAATGACATCACTTGCATCACTTTGGACCCAGCAAGGCCAAACCTGGGAGTTTGACAGATGTAAAGGACATAAAAACATGGATGTGCTGTTACTAACAGATACGAGTTTCCATTATTTTATGTGACCTTAAAACAGACAATTTAGATTTCTACAAGAGAGTTGTGTATATTTGAGTCTCTATGTAACATTGAGCTTTATGCACATTCTGACTGGTTAAAAAAAAAAAAACCTGAGGAACAACAAGAAGAGTTAAATCAGCAACCTGGTACTTCTTGCTATTAGACACATTCCATCTTCCTTCGAAATCTGAGTCACACACTTTTACTTTCTATGACAACAGCAGCCATAAATTCCTTTTAAAATTACATCTGATTTCCGAAGGGAGTAATCCCAAGGGATTAATAAAGTCAAGTCTAAGTCTAAGTCTAAGAATTTCTGTTATACAACCAATTGTAATTATTATAATTAATATCATAATTTTGGTTTTGCAGACCAACTCAGCAGTTTAGGCAGCACTTTGTTTGTTGTGGCTATCTCGGATAAGGCTGGCTTTTTCAGCAAAACCTTGCAGCATCAAAATAGAAAACAAAGATGTCTTTCTATTTAGGATCGGAATCAGAGCATTTTCCAAACAACCTTTTTAGGAATAACTGCTCAGGGGGTCCCAGAGGTGGTATATGCCTTTTTCATGTCTTGAGCTCATAACAGTCATGGTTCTTGGTTGTTAGCTGCAAAATGTTTTTTTTCCCTTCATAAGCGCATATTAGGTCAACGAAACAAAACCCATCATGAGGCAGAACCATAGTTTTAAGTACAGCTCTACTAGATTAATCAAAGAGGGGATATGTAATCCATGTAAGATCAGGAAAATATACATTTTTTAAAGTATTTGGATGTTAAACAATTTAGAAAAATATTCTAAAGAATTGCAATAATAATTGGGCACAAGGATTTAAGAATTATTTCAATCCGACTCATGCATTAATAAGCAACCTATTATTTTAAAGCTTTAAATTGTGCTGAGAACAATACATCCTATATCTAAATTTATCAGCTCGAAGGATCTTCTCTGTTCAAGATCTTTGGCTCTTGGTCTGGAGGCTGGGTTTAAATCTTATTTGTTATCCTGAACTATCTCTATATTACTGCTGCTATAGGTTTAGGCCGCTTGGGGACATAGGGACCATTTTTCATCATTCTGCCTCATTTTATCTCTAGTCTCAATTTCTGCAGTATTTGTTAGTTAAGTCCCTGACTTTATGTTCTCTCTGCTTTTTCTCATCATAGTAGCTTCATCTTGCATGATTCTGTTGGCTGTCAGTCCATCCTTGGGAAATATCAGCTGGGCTGAGGCCATTAACAGTTACAATTATAGATAATAGAGTTGGGCCTGTCTTTCAGTGCTTAGTCTTTTTTCTGTCCTAGACATAGCTATCAGCTTTTACTGTGACAAACTGAATGCACTGCCTTTCACTTAGGCATGAAATCTGGATCAGATGCTTGGCAGCATACAGTAAATGTTTCTTTCCTAGACTGAACCATCTATAGAGCTAGTTTACCATTACCTTTTCTAACATGTAAAGTATTAATGGCTCAGTGCTTATATGTTCCTTTTTTATGTCTGCTTCTATCTCCTAGAACCCGAGTCAGCAGAAGGCCACTTATGCTGAGCCTGGTACTGCTGGATGTTTTTCCTCTCCACTGTCACTGCATACATGCTCGGTGTGAGGGATTGCTGGACACAATGCAAGTGAATATCCATCGTCACCACACGCTCATCCAGAAGAAGCTTGTCCAGCAAAAAACTTTTACTGTTGAAGTGAATTAAAAGAGAAAATCATACAAATGATGTGGTGTTGCAAAAACTTAGAGGGGTCATTTATGGTACCTTGTCTTTTGGCCCCTTCAAATCAGTCATCTTTTGCATGTAAAATGTACAGTTAAAAGCTAAACTTATTTTTTTTTTGTTTCATATTTTAGAAAAAAGTCAAAATTATGTTTTAAAAAGAAATGTATCTTGAGATGTCTTCATGTGTACTTAATTCTTAGTTGGGGCTCCTTTTGCATCAACTGCCTCATCAATGCAGCATAGCATTAGTGAACATGCATCCTGAAGACCAAGACAAACAGCATTAGTTGACAAAAAAGTCTGTTAGTAATTATTACATTTTAAAATTGTATCAAATCAAAAATGTGCTGCTTTACAGCTTTATAGCATAAGCATGCTTATGCGTAAAGCAGGGCCAAAAACCTGTGCATACCACTTGCTGTAAAAATGTTTGGTCACATCACCTCGACACGTAAATATGCACATTTTAGAGGAAAGGGAAAAATGGCGGCGAAGACAGCAAGGTATACAAATGAAGTCAGATTAACTTTCAATGTTACTTTATATAAAACATAAGTCATAGATCAATGTCGTCATGAGCATCAAATATCACATTGTAATTCAATGCCATCAAGGAGATTTAGATTTTTCCTAATTAAATTTAGATATACATTTTTTCAAATGGGCAAAAAAATGTACATGGCTTCACTGCGCAGTCAGCTTAAGATCCACAATAACTAATCTATCTGTAGAGAAGTTAGGAAACATCTTAATGGAAACATCTCACAGATAATGTTGCTTTTGCAGATTTTCTGCAATCTTTTCTTTTTTTTTATTAATTACAGGTGTTAAACACTCTGGGGTTTCTGACAACCAGCTCTTAGCAGAAAAATTCCCCCTACAGGTGTAAAACATAATAAACAATTGATTATCTCTCTGCCTAAAGCAGCTTTTATGGAAAAAACAAATAGAAGAAAAATGACCAATAAATCAGAGATATCAAAGCCAAAGCAAGTTGCAATACTGCCCACTGTCTTAGATGGCATTGTTAATATGATCAGTCCACACATCAGGATCATATTGCCATTCCAAGTGCTTCTTGGAATGGCAATATGACAGTATCCTAATCTCCTCCTCACTCATCACACATCTTTCTGTAAAAAGACACATCTATTTCTGCTTCAGTTAAACAGCACCTTTTCACGCTGTTCACTACAGTGTCAATCAGTAATCATTGAATAACATCAGCAGGCTTATTTTAATACACAATGGCATTAATGAATTGCTTGAGCACACTGGTGTGATTTGCTTGTGTTTATGCATGAGCATGGTTTGACTTATCTGAAATATCTTTTAAAGTACGTCATTTTTGCATGTTGTTTTTTGGCATACACATATTTTTAGTAAAACTTTGATGAATGAGACCCTAGGTCAGCACTCATAGTATGAAAAGCTGGATTAATGTTTAAATAGATGTGGGTAAAAAAACAAAACAAAAAAAAAACAACAAAAAAAACAAACAAAACACAAAAAGCAGAAGTCATACAGCCAATTTGGATCTACTGCATTATTCCCATGGTGATGCAGGAGTAGCCAACTATCATCCTTCCACAAAACCACACGCTTTTATGCAGCTATTTGTTGACATGAGTGATTTTTCTACAGCTTATCCACCTGATAAATGATCTCACCTGCCTTTTTTTTTTTTATTTAATCTGCAACTTTTTTTCCAGTTAGATTTAAAATACTCCTCGGCACAGACCAATACACATTTATATCACCAAAAGAGACGATTAAGAACTCCACAGTTCTGGCTTTGTATGATAAAAGGGTGTGTAGTGCTTTTTAACAGGATCCAATCAATATTTAGCCTAACTTACAATTAATCAGCAGAGACAATTCTAACATCAAAAGATGCATACATTAAGCTGTTATTCAAAATAAAAAAAGAGGCGTAAAGTCAAAATTGAAAAAAAGTCTATGGTCCATTTGGCAAATGTTTCTTTTTGTAATAACTCATAAAACATGATTAACATCTCCTGTGATAATGTGTGCTTTTTTTCCCAAAGTACTACAATTTTGATAGTACTGCACAACATAAATAATAACAGTGTTTATTTTAATAAAACATACACAATCATTTAATTGCTGATGTGTAAAATGGGACCAACTGAAGTGCATATATATGTGTGTGTCCTTAATTCTGTCTCCGATCCTGAGGGATTTATGAACAATGTCAAGTTCCCTCTGAAGACCTGAGTCTCTTCACTGGCTCTTAAGGCTTAATGCACCCTGACTGAGTGGCACAGCAAGAGGCACACTGCCTCTCTATGTGCTGCAGATAATGCTAAGAACAACCTCTCAATTCCCGCTCTCCTCCTCACCTAATGTGCCCTCCGTCCTCCGCCGTGCGTGCGGCCCATTTCCATTTGGATAGACGGCTGAAGTGCAAACCAAAAAAAACACAACAAAAACGAAACAGAGAGGCCGTAATGGAAAACGCCGACATCGCCTCTAATGGTTTCCCATTCCAGGAGTGTTTACACACGTATGTAAATTTATGTAAACCCAACAGAAACACATATTTACAATAACACGGGGTAATCACTATATGAGGACACGGTGCACTAGCCTTGAAGATGGAGGCGCCATGTGTCATTAGTCTCCTTTATCTCTTTCCTTTTTCCAGCAAAGGCATCAACGCAACAACCATTCTGAATATGAATAAAAATGATCTTCACTCATGTGCTGCTCAGCGATGTGAATGTGTAGAGGAAAAACAAAGAGGTTTTAGGTCATCAAAGCAGACAGGTGTCTTAAAAACATGCATACCTTTATTTTTTATTACTTTATTAAATATTAACTCCGCCACCTGCTTCACTGTAAAGGCATCCCAGAATTTACCCAGATGTTCAGAGGAATAAGTGTACATATAACAAGAAAATAATCTCCTGATTCTGAAAAATGATATCCAGTTATTTATCATTTTTATTTGCTAAATCATATTAGATATTTAATAACAAAAAAATCAATATGACATTTTATCTTTATTATTCTTTACAGAAGCTAGGATTATTATACAAATTGTTTTACATTAATTGCACACTTTTTTTGCCCATGTTGGAATGTGTCATTTGTGTTCTGGTCAAGATCAAATACAGCTATAAAAAAATATGACTTGCTTTTAAAAAAATTTCTTTTAGAATTTATATGCAAAGTAAAAAAACAAAACAAGAAATATTAATAAACATTTCTAAATTACTTGGCATTTCAATATAGGCAATGCAAAGTATTTACTAATAAAATACTGTTGCTAGCATTAAGTAGATTTATTGTTCAAAAATATTTTTACCACCCCCAAAATAAATCAGTTTTAATGTTTGTTTTTTTTCTTACAAACTATTAGCTACTTTTAAGAAATCATTAATCACCTTCCTTCTCTTCTTTTTCGTTTGCTTTTTTTTTTTCCCTTTTCACAATGTTAAGGATTTTTGCTGCAGTTATTAAGCTTTACCTACCTCATGTAAAACCTGAATTTTTATCAAACATAATGTGCTCATAATGCACCACTCCAGAAATAATTTTGCTTGGCTGTGTGGTGCAGGACAACGACATAGTTCTAAGGTTTCTTGTGTTTTACGAGTTGTTCCACCTCCTTCATGAAGCGCAGGCAGAGCTCATCCTGCCACGGCAGGGCCACACACTGCACCGCCACGGGTAAACCCTCGCCCCCACTCACAGCCTAAAACACAGAGAGATGATGCCAATGAAATGCCATGCCAACTGAACACTGTGGTCTTTGCTTCTCCCTACTGGACGTAGAAGGTACTTCCACACTAAGGTGGTTTATTGTGCTTTATCAGTGGGAGAGAGGAAAGGACAAAGGACAAAAAATAAAAAAATAAAAAAATAAAAAAAGATCTTTAGTTTGATTAAAATGTATTTTGTTTTTATACACAAATAATTAGCTAGTTAGTTTAATATTCAATAATTGTTGCAGTAGTGCTTTTGCTAAATAAAACAGAAAAAAATGTGACCGATTGTCCATAAGTGCAAAGTATCATAATTTTAGTTTTAAAGATTAAAATGCTATTGCTTGCCCCAATAAGCACAGTATCACCTGTTTATGCAGCTTGTCCCAGGTGTCCTGGTAATTGCCCCTAAAATCTTTGAGGTCTTCCTCGTCCTGCGACGTCACTGTGGATACGGGGACCGCACCAGCCGGAAAATTTAGCAGATTGTACAGCATTGTTATGCTGGCGAGACCTAAAGGAAAAGGAGGAAAGAATAAGTAGAACTTGGAGAAAGATTGCTTGATATGGGATTGTTTTGGTACATATGCCACTTTTCTTCAACTCCACTGATAAATCTCTTCCAAAACACCTAACTTGAGCCTCTGCGGCACAGCAAAAAAACAAAACAAAAATAACATAGGTAAATACACTACAATATGACTCCATTTAGTTTTATTTACTGCAAGGAGCATGAGTTAAACCTTGATAACGTCACAGTTTTTTTTATCACATAATGTCTCATGCAGTAACATTACATACCTAAAAAAGAAATATGAAAACATACCTTAATTCTCAATAAAAAAAGGGTAGTACATTAGCAGATTAATTCCAAACAAGTGAGGTGTGATAATTCATCAGGTGGCCAAGCTAGAAGATGTGCATAACTGTGGGGGGATGGCAGCCATAACAGAATGCAGAAAGTGTGCAGTCAGAGATCTTACTGAGCTCCTGGTCATGATAATGTATGGCTAATTAGCTGGTTTAGATATGTGCAACTCTGGAAAGAACTGTGCTAGTTAGGATAATTATCATTGAAAATGTGTGAGTTTATTACACCTTGGTATTGGCAGCCTGTTGCGTCTCAGAAATGATGTTTTAATCTAATTAAGACAGTTCCTCTGTTTGGATATACAGTGATAATCTTTATTCTGTACTTGACAAAGATTTGGAAATGGAATGAGAGCTGTGTCCTTCAGATAAGAATGAAGTGTAATATTTTGATTAGGCTTGAGCCATGGATGTCTAATCATTTGCTAACATGTATGATGTAGAATAAGATGATATGGCAGACTGGAGATGTATAAAATGCCTTTTTAACTGTTAATGAGGGCCACTTCCTGAGAGGTGAGCCCGAAGAAGAGCAGCTGCCTTCTGTACATTCTAAGCAATTTCTCTGATCTGAGTAAGATTACAATTTCTATCAGAATCTGTTGTCATGTCTCCTGGTTATTTAATACATATAAGTTATGAAGTGTTATTTAAAGATTTTGTCCCAAGTGATCTCTTTTCAGGGAAAAGAACCAGAGAGATAGAGCATCAGGGTGCATACAGAGAGCCTATCTTTAACAAACTAAAAATATTTATATATTAATAAATTTTTTTAAAAAATTTTTATTTGATGTTGTAACTAACCGGTCTCAGGCATGCAAAGAGTCTCAAACTTTCTGAATCGTCCTTTAAAAGGGCAATAAAAATTCACAACAAGGATTCTAGACAATATGACCGCTGACTGATTCCTCCCAAATACAACTTCTTAAATTTGAATAACCTTGTTATGATGCTAACATCTGCTCAATTTCTAACAGCCTTCATAATATTGTGGCTTCTGCTTTTAGGGTCGTTAAACCGAGCTAAAAAAAGCCCAACTAAAGTTAAAAAGCCAACCTCTAGAGGAGAATGCAGCATTCTAAAATGTAAGACCTGTTGGATCCATCTTCCCTGTTGTTTGCATGAGTCAGTGAAATACAAAATTAGATCATAAAATTTAAAAGTTTATCAATGTTGTTAATTTGATGAAAAAACAGCTTCTATTTAAGCACGTTTTCCCTCATAAGTGATGAATGTGTTAAATGAAAGTATTACTGGTTTATTTAGAAAGTATGTGTTCGAGAGGGTAAATGCATGTGTGCATGAGTGACTAGCAGAAGTGTTGTATAGAGATGCAGTGAACAGTTTTCCACAAAGTGTGTTATGATATATGCGGTTGTTTTTGTATTAGTATGTGTGTTCAATGGATGTTTTCTCTCCTATATTTTCATGCAAAACAGCTATGATTAATATCAGCCTGTCAAGAGAGGCTACAGGTAGAAATTAGTATAATTTGCTATATAACATGACACTGGGCATGTTTCCTAATTTTAGGTCAATGTTTTGTGGTGCACTGCCCCTGCACAAATAAAAGCATAATCATCATCAAATTAAAGCAAAGATTTGATTTCCAAATATGATTACCGCCCTAATATCACTACAAAAACACCTCCAGGGAATGCATTTTCTTTTATGAACAGTACATATTTTGATAAAAGAGCCATGCAACTCTTTGTGATGCACAAACATGTCAATAATGTATTGGTAGGCTAATTTGGCCTAGTTTAACACAGGATTCCTTTATGTTATAATAATAATAATAGTAATAACAATGATTATTAAGTATTATAATATAATAGCTGCATTACAAACAGACCTAAGCAGGCTATGAAATGGCTGACCTCTTTTTTTGTGACCGTTTATATTTAAAGGACAATACTTTTATATCACATATTAAGGTGACAGTGTTCCTAATAGAAATATGGTGGTTTGTTAAAAATTACAATGATCAACATTAAGCTGTAGCTGAGCTGAACAGCAGTAGCTAGATGACGCTTTTGGACTTGATGCAAATAATGTAAAACAAAACAACGAAAAACTGTTGATTTTCAAATTCTTTAGAGTCACTGATGTTACTCAATACGTTGCTGGTCGGCTCTAAAAAAAATGTCACTGAGGTGTGTTGACAAGGACAGCCTGAGGGTATCGTTGCCATGGTTATTTGGACACGTGATGGTTAGGGAATTTGCAGGTGCATTTAGGGGCAGGCAAATATGTCAAAGGTTCTTTCATACAAATACCAAACATTTTGAGGATGAAAGTTAGCCACTCTTCTCTACATGAGGTCCAAAATGTTTAAAAGAAGCTACTTGGGGTATCGTACATGTGAGTTGGCCGCAGTACAGAAAGTTGAAAGCTGGTCCGATCATGGGGCACAGCAGCACGTCTATGTTGTGTTTCCTCCAGTGTGCAATCGTCTCAGAAATGTAGTCCTAAACAAAACACACAATTAGCCAAAAATTAAAACAAAATGAAAAATAAATAAAAAACTATAGGAATCATCTGCTGGGTAAATGCAGTACCTCCACATCAGCATGCTGCTTCCAAACATCTGGGGGTGATCTACAAACACAATAAGATTGAGGAGGAGATCTAAAGCAATCTGTTCCAAGAAACATTTTAAAAGAAAACTATGAAAAATGTAAGCAACCAAGCTATGGAAACATGATCACACCTGACTCCACAGAGGGCGCCCAGGACAGCAGGGATCCGAGGAGACTGAGGATAACGTGAGAAAAAAAGTAAATCTCCATCTGAATCATATTGTTATTTCTGGAACAGGGAGACAGAACTCACAAAGGGCTTCATCAGGAACATGAGGGTTCTCTTCAACCACTTGGGGATAGAGTACGTGGTAACCTGTGGCCTGAGGCAGGGATCCAAAGGCCCCCCCTTCCTGAAACATAAGCAATAAAATCCCTGTTATCTACAGGAGAGAATACAATCAGATCAAATCTGCTAAGCAACAAGCTGTGTTTCGGTGATACATTGTCAGAGTTCATGGCTGGAAATTTTGGGTTTGATTTTTACAAACTGTGGTCTGTTAAAATTTAACCAAACTGTTAATAACTGTTAATGATCAGGTTAATAAATAACTTTAAGGTTGGTCTTAGTAATAAACAAATGGATGAGCAATCTCTTCTGTTATTAAAACATTTCAGGGAAGACATATAAAACAACGGACTGACAGAAGTTTCTCGGAAACTTTACTCAATCAATGTTACTGGACCTGTTGTCAGATTTTTCCCTGATATTCTGGAATTCAAAACTAAGCATTTAATCAATTTAAAGGCTTTAAAGGTATAGATGACGATCTATTATTTTCAGAGGGATCATCTAAATAAGTGTTCCTCCAACTTGTCAATCATTCTGGTGATACGTTTACGTAAGGCCGTTCTATGTTAGCAATCTTTTTCTGCATATGCGCACTTTCAGCCGTATATGTGTGGTGAGCTACGGTTTCAGACAGTCATTGTAGCTCACCTTTTTCACCGCGGCTCTTCAAAAATAGCCGAGGGTCGTAACAAAAAAAAAAAGTGTGTATGAGAAGGAGAGAAAGGCCTCAGAAGAGTGTGAAGTTAAAATTGTGTGTTCAACTTAATATTTTACTTTTTAAGCAAGCAGCATATTTGCTGAAGGTCACAAGGGTGTAAGATGACCTTGCAGTGTTTCTAAACAGGATAAAGATCTGTGCAGAAGCTGGGAACGGTCAGTTTGAAATAGGTGTTGTTTAAACAGTAACAAGGAAGAGCAATTAATGGTAAAACAGTTTCTATGAAACACGTAAAGAGTTCAGTTCTGTGGAAACCGTTGCATTGTACAAAACAGTTTCTGTTAATGTTTTATAACTCTTATACGTGCGAAAGTGTTCTATATGTAGAAGGGGAATGAGTCACCCCAGTCAGAGCTCACTGTGAGATTCTGTATAACTGTGAGCTCTGCAAGTGTCCAAATCAAAAGGAAGCTTTGTTCCTTGCAGTCTGCTGTGTCTCAGTCTCCAATTTCAAACAGACTACAAAAGGCAGATATATCCCAGAATGCTTTGTGTGGAGAGCTCTCCTCGCAAAGCACTATGGGATTTGCTGTCACAGTAGCCCACTGTCGCCATAGGCTAATGCTACCCGACAGCGGCGACTAATAACAAAGATGGTGCAGGCACAGCGCAGTGAAGGAGGAGTTACGTGGCCAGCGGGACAAAAAGCAGTGATCATCGTCCACTATATAGTGCCCGCTGTATGTGGGCACAGTAACAGAGATCCCCCCCCCCTTGCCCTGTTTTTATTTCATGCTTTACTGGGCCCCCATGAAAACGCGCTGGCCCCCTCCTGGCCCCCTGGTACATTTGGTCTAGATCCGCCACTGTTCCTCACCTTCAATAGACGTGGATATACTTTAGTATATTCTGCTGTAAAAATAGTCCTATATTTTCGTTTCTTACTCGAGGATTCAACCTCTGCCGTTTCACAGGATGCACAGCTTTGAGTGGTAACTAGGTGACTGTCAGAGAGTAACCAAGAGAAACTTATCGGACTGATCCAATCAGCTCTCTGATCAACCAGTCACCTGGAAGGTTCGTTGAACAGAGCATCGCTTTGGACAGATACACTGCACAGGTTTCACAGTAACCTCCTCCCTACACCACGCTCTCATTTGTTGTCTGCGCAATCTCAGTAGTTCTAATCTGCACATGATGCACGAATTATTGCCTGCCCGCTCTCACTCACATTAAGAAAACACCACCTCCCATAGTCTAAAACCCGGGATAATTTATCCGACCCGCGGGCATCCGTAAACAACTATCGATATCAGGGAGACTCCCTGAACATCCGGGAGACTTGGGATGTCTGCAGTAAGCTTGTATGATCTATGAGAGCAGCACATTTTAAAGAGGGCGCGCATGAGGAGAAATGGACCTGTGCATGCCCTTGTACATGCATTTTTATATTAAAGTGGAGAGAGCAGGTCTTTTTAAAAAAATCCTCTACAATACCTTTAACTGAAGAAAAATAAATACATAAAAAAGCAAAGCATATACATATCTGCATCCCATCTGGATTAATTCATCTCTACTGATGCTGATTTTATTCTTTATATCACCAACATCAATCCGGAATGTATCCTGGAGATCGTCTCCTTTTTTTGTTCATCAGGGAATTTTATTATTCATGATCCATTCTATTTCACCACGGTTTCAGTTTCCCCTAACCTATCGTTCAGGGAAGTGCTTTTTTTTGTTTTGTTATTTTGGATTAAGAACAGTTTAAAAAAATCTGCGCCCCCAATGGCGTAACTGTTGGTAAGCAGAGACTGCAGTTGCTTAGGGGCCCCATCACTGACTCCTGGTAGCCCCCCACGCAATTGTGGACTAGGACGTCTCTTTGCAGGATGCTGTACTTGGCATGGGGCCCACCCAGATAATGTTGCTTACTGGCAAGGCAACAAGGGGAAAATACCATGGAACTGATGAAAGCTATAACCGTTTGCAAGTCAGACCAAATAGTGAAATCAGAACCTCTAACACACTGCAGGCCTTAATGTCAATTCTGTGAAATCTGATTTTTTTTGTGTGTTGCCATTCCCATTTGCGACTTGTATCTGATCTCCTGTTGTAACTGCATTCACACAACATGACTGTCCCACATGCGTAGTAGAGGACGCAATAACGTAACAAGATAGCGCACTCTGTGTTTACAGAAGTAAACGTGTGGCAGTGCTGGAGCTTGTCTAGCGATCTACCTTAAACACTTAGTCTTTTTAAGATGGTTAAAAAAAGACCGCTCTCTGCATTATTTTCTGCCATGGTTGTTTTTCTTCCCAATAGTGACCTTTGTTGAGTATTAATGACGCTTTTAAAGGCCGTTCAGACGCAGGTCACATTTGAAACAATCAGATTCGAATCGGATTCAGGACCACATAGCCAAGTGGGCCGAGTCGCATTTGAAAAAATAGGATCTGTGTTGTTCAGACTGTCACGAAAACATCAGATACAGGTCGCATATGGGCAAATACAAAAAATCATATTTGGGTCACTTCAGGCTGCAGTGTGAACGTAGCCTATGTTAACGTTTTCTCCTGAACTAATCAGTTCAGAAATCACTGCAGTGATGCCAGCATGATGTGGGAAAATTAAAACATGTGCTAATTAGGTTTTAAGCTATATTAAATGAATCTGATGCGATTACTGCTTACAGAAAGCTAGAATTGATGCAACCTGCTATCAAATTTCTGTCAGTCTCTAATCTACACCCCAACAATAATGGATACTAATTATTTTTGTCCTCCTTTAGTTGAACTCCCGTCCACTATGCTGCATTTTTCTGGTGAAACAAAGTAGATGTTTCAAAGTGCTGATTAAAAAAAAATCTCTTCAATTGCAAGAGACTGGAGGGTGTCTGGTTTAGGAACCTTGGGATATGTTCTCTGCTTTTCGTAGATGATGTTGTCCTGTTGGCCTCATCAAACCAGGACCTTCGGTATGCACTGGGGTGGTTTGCAGCCGAGTGTGAAGTGGTCGGGATGAGGATCAGCACCTCCAAATCCAAGGCCATGGTTTTCCACAGGAGAGAAGTGGATCCCCTCTTCAGGTCGGTGAAGAGTCTTTATCTCAAGTGGAGTTCAAGTATCAAGGGGTCTTGTTCATGAGTGAGGGACGGATGGAGCATGAGATCAATAGACGGATCGGTGCAGCATCGGCAGTGATGCTGTATCGGACTGTCGTGGTGAAGAGGGAGCTGAGTCGGGGGCAAAGCTCTCGATTTACCGATCAATCTACGTTCCCATCCTCACCTATGGTCATGAGATCTGGGTAATGACCGAAAGGACAAGATTACGAATACCAGCGGCCGATATGAGTTTCCTTCGCAGGGTGCCTTGGCGCATCCTTCGAGATCAGGTGAGGAGCTCAGTTACCCTGGAGGAGCTCAGAGTAGAGTCGTTGCTCCTTAATGTCAAAAGGAGCCAGCTAAGGTGGCTCCGGATGTTCCGGATGCCTCCTGGTCACTTCCCACGGGGGTTTTTTTGTCATTGCAGTGCTGTTCAATTTAAGAACTTGTGTAGATTTTGTTTTTTTGAGGGACATTTTTTTTTATTCCTGTCGCTTACAGAATAATGATAAAAGAAAAGACAAAAAAAGAAAAACTTACAGTTTTTGTAGCATGCTGGTGGTTCCATCTGCAAACAAACCCTTTATGATGAGTTCAGTGACAACTTCGTTCACCCTCAGAGGTTCATAAGGCACAACCTGAAAGCAATGAGGATCAGCTTAGAAACACTGCACTTTCTACATACAGTAGCTGGAGTATGCAAAAAGATGAGTGTTTTGAACTAACGGTGTGCCCGGCCTGCTCCAACAAAGCTTTGACCTCTCTGAGGCCGCGAACCATGCTCGGAGGAGGCAGTGAGTACCCATCATTCTCAAGGTAACCAATTCTGAGAGGCTTGGAGCTTTGGTACGTCTGCAGAAAGACAGTCGCTTTTATTCTGATATTTTAAATTGGTATCAGCATTAAAGATGACATTTGGTGTGCTTTTTCAGGTTTTATGGTTTATTTAAAAATGACCCCAGAAGATGAGTCAGATTGATACTGGTAAGCTCAACCAAAACAACACTGAAAGGCAAACATCATTCATCACCTGGAATTATTCCAGCGCTTTCATCACTCCAAGGATTTATGTTTTTTCTCCTCCACAAAGTGATAACAGATAAAGCTTTAAAATGTTAATTTCTATTCTTTCTTTTCCTATTTTACAATCACTGTTAAAACAAACTTTAAACTCAGACTTACATTTTCCTTTCTAAGTTTTTCTGAGATTAAAAACCTTATTTATATTTATTAAATCCCAGAACAATTAGATTTTTCAAAATTAGGGCCCATTCTTTGGGCAAAAAAATTGTGTAACTAAAGATCAGAGTTGAAACCTTCCCTGCCTAAACGTAACGTTAAAGCTATATTATGAAGAAAAGATGCTGTTTTTATTAATCCATAAAGAAAATATTACATTATGAGGGAGTCAGACGTTTAGCTGTTTGTAGTGACCCCAATAGTAGGTTTAAGGCATTCCTTTTCTGTCATACTTCCTCCACCTCGATGATTCTGACTTCCTGCAGTGTTTTCTGTTTCCTTCAAACAAATTATAGGACTGATAATAAGCAGAGAAATCTAATGGATAACTCCTATTTCAAGATCTCTGCAGTTATTTAATTTAAAACTCACTTGTGTTGTTTGTGATGAATCTGCCTGCAAATTCTCACCTTTAGTAATTTTTTTTTTAGGAACTAAAATGAGTCCAATTGATCCATATAGTAAAACCATTTCAGGAAAGATGTATAAAAGAAATTGTATAATATCAGCTTATCCCGTTATACAAATATAATGATATCACAATATTCCACATGTTAAATCTAAAGCATATTTCAAAAAAAAAAAAAAAAAAGCTGGAAATAAAAACTGAGAAAAGATTCAAACAGAATAAATCTGAAAAGTTTTTTACTGTAAATATTATATTGAAATGTTCACACACTATGCATCAGAGGACACACCTGGTTATTAAAGGGCAAAGGTGGCACAGTGGGGTCCAAGGAAAACATGTGGTCACAGAGAAGAGCTTGCATGCACAGAGCTAAACTGTCCACATCCCGCGCCATGGGTCCAGGTGATGGGAGCACTAAGGTAACAAGAGGCACAGCTCTGAACATAATTTCCAACGGACGACCTTAGTGTGTCAATATGCGACACTGTTGACTATTAACACTTACCGCACTTTTGACCTCGGTAAATGGATACCATGCCCTGTGAACTGATGGTGACACAGAGCAAAGGTAAAGACATTGCGTTAGAGGCAACCATAAAACCATCTGAGGCACACGCACCTGAGCCGGCCTGTGGTTGGCTTAAAGCCACAGATGCCGCAGAAAGAGGCAGGTATGCGGACGCTTCCCCCTATGTCACTGCCAATTCCGAGAATGGAGCCGCCTCCTCCGATGAGAGCCCCCTCTCCTCCAGAGGAACCTCCAGAAGTCTTCAGGACATTACAGGGGTTCACAGTCTGTCCGAAGATGGGGTTACTGCAATCATAGCTGCAAAGAAAAAAGATATTTACATAAACTCTGTAAAACTCCCTGTCTGTTCTCAAATCAGATTAAACTTCCATATTTTACGTCAGTTAGGATTAGAAAGACAGCAATTTCTGTTTAATACACCAGAATACTGAATGTAATATTTTTATTACACACTTTGAATTGAGAAAACACAAAGGTCAATATGCTTTAAAACAATTCTCAAAAGCACATATGATTATGATTTAGTTCAAAATGGCTAAATTAATTGAAGGAGTTTTGTAATGATACTGCCACCTGTGGCCAAAGCCCAGAACTGCAGCACTCTTCTGCTTGCTCTCATAGCTCACGGCCTTACTGGACATGCTTTTTCATTTTTTTAGCTTACATGGAAAAAAGAACAACATAAAAAATCTGCTTACATAGAATGGCTGCTCAGTGGAGAAGTGTGTAGCACTGCTGCCTTGGAACAAGACGTTTTTGGGTTTGATTTCTGGCCCAGGGTCTTTCTGCCTGGAGCTTGTACGTTCTCCCTGAGCATGCATGGGTTCTCTCCAGCTTCCTCCCACAGTCCAAAAACATGACTGTTAGGTTAATTGGCTTCTCTAAATTCTCCTTCGGTGTGAGTGTGTGTCAGTGATAAATGGTTGTTTGTCTCGGCGTTGCCCTGGGATAGACTGGCAAAACAATCCAGGGTGGACCCTGCCTCTCGCCCACTGACAGCTGGAGATAGGCACCAGCACCCTTATGACCCCAGCTGGGATAAAGCATGACAGAAAATGGATGGATGGAGCTTACATGGAGTTCCCATTAGTGACTGAGTTAAGCTTGATGCAGGTTGCCTCTTCATATACACAAAATCCATCTTGAATATAACTCTTTGAATGTTTGCTAGCTTGGAGCCATTCAACATGGCGTCACAGCCACATAACAGCGCAGGTACTTCCAGCCCGAAGTGAATTAAGGAAAATAGGCTACAGGTTTATAGATGCATCAGTGCTGAACTACTGAGGTGTTAGTCTGTTCATCAAGCTATGTTTTAGTCGTAAAGGATCAAATAAAAAGACAATTTAAAAAAGATTTTTCATTAAAAATGAACAAAATAGATGTTATGATCTGTAAATAAAAATATGTAGAAATATAAAGACCAAATCTCAACACATCGACCAGAAGGAGAATCACTCTATGCTCCAGTTCATTAGAAAGCAGGTTAAGGGCAACAAAGTCAATGTTTTAGCCCAAGTTATGAGCAAACTAGATGGCCTACAAATGCTGCCGTAACCGACTCAGTTACAGCAGTTCCTCTGGGAGGTAGTCGCCAAAATTCATGCAAACTAATATAAGAAGGCACACCAAACTCTGCCGTTAAAGCAAAGGAAAATAGTTCTGATAATCCTAACTGACCTAAAACAGGTCAGGTATAATTTGGGTTAATGTCAGAGAGTGATGAAGTGTTTAGACCAGATTGCTTGTTTGAACTAAAGAGAAAAGACACATTTTTCTTTTTTATATACTAAGCACAAACTTTGTGCCATGAAGGTGTCATGAATTCTCATTACTTTAACAGTGCCTGTGGCAGGTTGGTTTTCACAAAAGGAATGGCTCCTTGTTTCTTCAGCACTTCCACGATCACGCTGTCCTTCTGGGCTGGCTGGTCCAGGTTTACGATCAAGCCACAGGAGCAGTCATGGTTCTTTATTGTAAGGAGAAAATAGAGAAAGACAGCAGAGGGCAGAGTGAGATAACACATACAAAGCAGGAAAGTTGACCAGACGACACAGAGACTTCCACAGTGAAATTCCTTCAGCTGTTTACCTTATATGAAACGTTGTCTTTGATGCTGATGGGAACCCCGTACAGCAGACCGTCCTTGTTGGAGTCGACGCTTTTCAGCTGGTCAAAACTCTCCAGCAAAATTTCTGTGCAGCAGTTCAGCTTCTTGTGAACAGCCAGAGTCTATTTGAAAGGAAGCTGCTATGATTTCAATTCAAACTGCATTTGTGTAAAAATACATCAGATTGCATGACGGGCATGGATAAAGGGGTTAGAGGTAATGAAATAGTGCTCGTTAATGGATACTGAACTTTTTCCATGTAGGAGTAAAACACGTTCTCGGGGCACAGTGAACCCTCCCGCAGCTTCTTCGTCAACTCAGACAAAGACAGTGACAAGATGGCGGCAGAGTCGAAGGATTTATGCTAAGGAGAGAAAAAGCACAAATGCTGATTGATTTTTGCTACGACATTGGCAAATGGTTGCACATTTTAACGCTATTTAAGAAAGTTTATTTTAAACCCAGGATTTAAAAGGAACAAAAATGGACAAGTTGAGGCACAGGTACAGTACAGGTTGGCACAATAAGGCACAGGTTCCTCTTTGGTCTGAGGATTTAAACTCAACAGAAAATGAAGTGATCACAAGAAAAGCCACAATTTTTAACGTCGACCCTGAGAAAGCAGACAGAATCAGCCAAATTTGTGCTCCTAATCAATGAGAAACTATGCAGAAGGTTTTTGGCATTAGAAAAATTGTTGACTACTTTTAAAAAAGCAGCAAGTGGGTTTAAAATAAACTTGGAGAAGGCAGAAAAACAATCAAAAAGCTTCTAGAAAGAAATAAAACTGTCCTTCACTGCAGACATCTTATCCTAAACAGGAAAGAAAGGCTTTATTCACCAAACAAATATCCTGTTTCATCCATTTGACGTATCTACATTAACCGTTTTGTGATGTTATTGGTTCAAAAATGTTGCAGTGTTTTGTAAAATAAACTGTCTACAAAGAACTGTTGCTTTCTGAGCAGCTTTAGGAGCATTTAATTGATTTTTTATTTTCTACAAGTCTGGCTTTAATATGGCCTACATGTGGTTAGGAAACTGAAGCAGGGAAAAAAAATCTAATGAGACATTTAACAATGGTGAAAGTAAGTTTTTGCATTTGATCAGGCTGGTTTAAAACTATTTCTGGTCCCATAATAAGAATCAATTATGAATAAATACTGCTTTTTGTATTTTCTTAGGTTATGCTTTTCTATTTTTTGTATCTGCAGAGAGAAAGTACCTCCAAATAATTTTATTAATTGTTAATATATGTGATCTTTAAAGAATATAACTTAAGCACTTAGATTTATTTCCACATGGAAAAGAAAGGCCTGTTTATTATCCCTACAATGGTGGATTGCAACATCAGGGATCAAAGTTTGCAAATGTGTTTAGATAGCAGGGGTTGAATCGCCATATAGTCTGAATTAGGAGGAATGGTGCATGCATTAGAAGCAGGTGTTTATAAATGTGGATCTCACCGCCTGTTTGTATCGGAGCACCTCCTGCTCAGCCCGTTGCAGGCTCTCAGTCCTCCGGCTCCTTGCCCTCTCGGTCTTTTCATTCGCTGCCCGGTGGTCGCTGACGGTCTTGAAGACCACCAGCAGGGCTCCCACCCCGCAAGCAGCGGAGCTCAGTAGAGCCACTGTCTGTCTCTCCATCTTCACTCCCTTTACTAAATCTTGCAGAGTTTCCATCAGCTAAATGAAGCCAGAACACAACGTTCACTGTGAATGGAGTCGAGGCTATTAAAGTAAATGAAGCGGCACTAAACATTCCTACCTCTCATCTCCTTACGTCAGCTGCAGCACTGCTGGACCAGCAGAGGGCGCCCCAGCGCTGCATTCACAGACAAGTGAAAGTTGGAATCTTCTTCTGTTTTGTGCACCATTTCTGACTCTGGAGAGCTAAAATATAACAAGCTGCTATTATAATAACAATAATAATAATGTGCTGATGACCTGAGTTTTTTAACTGTTTGTTGTGAAATCATTGTTCAATAAATGTTTTGTTAAAAATAAAAAATCGCCTTCTTCTTTTATGGCGGTTGGCAAGCAACTTATTGATGCGCTTTACCGCCATCTACTGGAATGAGTGTGCATCGGGATGCTATAGGATCCACAAAACAAAAAATAAATGAAATAAAATTATAATAATTAAGTTAATAAATGTTATATTCTTTCTATCAATGTCGTTTTCTTAAGATAATCCATTAAATAAAAAAAACATTTAAAAGTAGAAAGTTTGTCAAAAATATCTTGTATATTATATTTAATTGCAATTGTAATAATTGAATTCCCTTCTCTCAACAGAATATCATAGGGGCAAACGAAATAAACAAATGCTTAAAAAAATAAATGAAACCTAATTAGATATAATAAACAAAACCAGAAATACTGAAATTAAAACAAAAAATAAGTTGTCAATATTTGATATTTCACTAGACGTGGAGATCAATCGTCCATATCTTACAATATTGGAATATAGTCATAGTTAAACGCTTATAATCATGCACGCCTTTCCACAGCACCGTCAGTCAGATAATTAGAGGCGATTGGTCTACAACTTTCAGCAAATGATACCTATATTTTTACCCATGGGCTTTAGCAAAATTAATTAAATTTTATATAAGATATAATTCCTTTGATATGTAATAAATGGATTTAAAAAAAAAAAAATGTAATATATGGTTTTAATAGATTATACTGATTGCCACTTTACAATGAGTTTTAAAGTGCCCCAGGCAGAATTTTGAGTAGCCTAGACAAGCCCCTTATTGGATTAAAGAGGCATGGCATAGGGTCTTTCAAACATTTTACTGACCTGAAGATCAAAAGGATAATTTCCCAGAATGTTATTGATTTTTGTTAAGTGAAAAAGAATTAGGACAATTATGTTTATATTCTTATTATTAAGGGAGATCTCTATACTATCCTTGTCAAATTTTAAGTCTGGCTGTATAGACATAGCTACACAACCTCAAAACTTACATAAGTATCCATCTGGTTACTAACTGTTTTTTGTAATATTTGCTCCCATAATAGCTCAGAGGTTTGTGGTTATAGTGGGTTTTCCGGCGCATTTTCTTGATGTGTTATAGGGTACATTGGCAGTATTTATTTTGTGTGTTCTGTTTGCATCACTGCTATTTGTTGAAGATTTTGTAGGACAGGATATCTTGTATATCTGTCTCACAGCCTGCAATCAGGAATATTTTAAGGATTACAAGTACCAGTTGGTCAGTTGTGTCGTCAAGGATGCAATGACAGTAAAAAGGGGATGCTCTGTGTAAAACACTGGGTAAAAAGGAAAGGAATATAGATAACTGTTAAAGAAAATAAAAATTTAAAAAAATAAAAAAAAATTCTAACTTTAGGGAACATATTACAAAAGTGAAAACACAAGATTTTTTTTCCAAGCGCTTTCATTGGGTTCATATTTATAACAAACATATTTTCTTGCTCAAAATCTTGATTGCTAATCACATTAACCTTTACTAAAAAGTCAAGAGCAAATTTGTAATTATGGTTGTGTAATCAAGAATAATGAAAACCAGCATTTACTTAAAAAAAAAAAAAGAACACAGCAAATCTGTGCATCTAAGCCACTTTATTGATATATTGAATCACAATGACTGTATACATTTTTTTCACATGTTTAGATAACACATTTTTAAGTTACAACACGGAGCAGATAAACACATGTGCGAGTTTGAACCCCCATCCTCCTGGTAGTCTGACTTCTGGAGAAAGTGGTCATCGAGTCATCCAGGCACAGGGGACCTCATTTGACAGAATGGAACAATTTGTGAGACACCTGTAAAGAGACAAGACATAAAATTTAAAGTAACAAAGCCACTCACAGTGTACACATTTAGCCCAAACTTTCAAGCAAAAAGTATGCCCTCGCCAGCTCTGCCGATAGATACATCTGTGACTAAGTAAGGTAGATTAAAACAAAACACACGTAAAGCCTTAAGTTCGATAACTGTCATTATTCGAGGTGACCACTCTGTTGTACAATAGTGAATCTTTGCTTTTATGACCTGTGTTCTTTAATCACCTAGCAGGGTCCAACTGGTACATTCTGTACTTACACAATGGTCCCGAGCATGGAGGAAGTCAAACAATTCCTCCGTGCAGTCCTCCTCTGTCTGGGATCGAGAACCAACTCTGGTCTCGCATAACTCCAAACGTTCCCGAGAGTGGATGCAGTGCTCCGTCTCCTCACACTTCTGCCGCAAGGTTTCAAGAGGGTCCTATAATCAAAGTTAATTTAGTAAATATATACTACAGTACTGTGATCTCCAACTTAATTTCATATCCAACAGAAAGCTATTAGAAGTGAAATTGTATTTTCTACAAAATATTAAAGCATGCTTACGGTTCATAAGGCTGTAAGCAAGAGAATGCGAGAAAAACATTCAGTACGTAACAAAAGGAGCTGAACAAATAACTTTAAAATTGCTCTAAGGCTGGAGAATCCTGTCCAAAACACCATCTATCTCAATAACGTACACATGGAGAGGGAGGTTTAGCAATGCCAGAAGAGGGAAACTTAACCAATTCCTTTTAAAATGCTAAGGACAAGATAAAACTGTAATTATTGAAGTTATTCCATAATTAATATTAGTTATAAAGGCTGTTTGACATCCAATGCTTTTCCACAAACTGATTCAACATTATCTATGCCCATAATATACATTATTAAACTTCTTTTGGCAAAAAGGTTAGAAACTGTTGGTTAAATTTTGAAGTTTGAAACGAACTAGACTTCTTAATTCATTAGTATCGCATTAAAACCACTCAATAGATGTCATTCATATTTAATCAAAGTCTTATGGTGGTACAGAGAAAAACAATAATAAATCAATAAATTATAACTAATGAAATCTTCTGGAGCAAAAAGGCTGCTGACTCACCACCAAGTCCTCCTCTTCTTCCTCCTCTTCCTCCTCCTGAAACAGACACAACCAAATCAATGGCATCATTCACTTCCAGCCAATAAAAGTTAATTTTGTCAATATTTGTAAACCTAGATCCATGATGCAAACAATGCAAAAAAGGTCAACTTTAGATTGTGATTAATCTAGGATGTCGTATTAATAAACCGGAAAATAACTGATACCGAAGCTAAGACAAGCTAGCATATTCGGTCGGTGACCGTTACATTTTTAAAGGAATTCCTGAGTATATTCTTAAGAAAATATAAAGCATTTACTACTAACATCTTCGGGTTCCCCGTTCGTGATCATCTTCTCCTCGAAAACCATATTTTAATGTTTTATTCCTGGCTGCCTGTCAAATCACTGCTCTTGGAGGACACCTCAGGTCAAAGCAGCTAGCCGACGGTCGTTGACAACAAATTGAAGTTTCCGGTTCCGGTATTTTCATTTTAAAAGCTTCAGCAGCTTCAACTGGCTTTATGTTCAGTGAGAATAGAATGTGAATAAGGAAAAATATGAACTATTATGATTTACAAAGACAGATATATCATGCACATCCAGAGGACGTGATAATAAAATTTCTACGTTAATGTTGTTGTCTTTTTTTTAAAGAAAAAAGTAGGTTGAAATGACCGGCATTTGAAAAATGAAATGCTTTTATTCAAGCGGGACTTGAAGTTCACTCTGTAACACATAAAAACACGTTTGGTTAAACCTTTTTTATGAGTTTTTTGAATATATTTTTTAAGTTATTAACACGTTGGTTTTATTTTGAAGAGAGCATTTCGGCCAATAAATATTTCACTGCTGCCACCATGTGGTAGAAAATGTTATAACAGTAGCAGAAGTAAAGCGTGAAAAGCTGTAAATGAATCGGACCTAGTCGTTTTGAAACATAGTAGTTCTTATGATCATGTAGAAAACAATAATAGCACTATGACAGTTTTTCTTGTAGATAATCAATTATATTGATAAAACAACCAGAAATTTTAATAAATTCTGGTATCAACTTATATCACCTTGCAGGTCTCTGCATGTCATCCACTGATAAGCAAAATGATAAGGCCCAGAAATAACCTTAATGAGGGTCTGAGTTTTTTTTTTTTTTTTTTTTTTTTTTTTTTTTGTTCTCTTGCCTATTCATAATGACAGAAACATAAATAAATAAAAAATACTAAAGTAATGAGGGGTACTTTTTCAGATAAATTAATTTCCTTATCCATGTCTTCTCCAAACACTGTATTTATACTTATAATGAAATACAAATACTGCAATCTTCCCATTAGGTCAATAAGTATTTTACAAATACTGTACCTGGAAATATATGTAACATGTTCAGTTGCTGTGTCAAGGATATAGGGACCAGAGTCCAATTTAATAAGTAATCTATTTCTTTGAAGCAACATTTTAGATGAGAAAAAACATTGCTGCTATTTCTTAGAGCAAAATATCAATGCAGTGCCTTGGGAATAAATTAAAAGCATATTGACAGGCTGGGTTGGCACCATGGATTTGCTTTTTTCCATATTTAGTTTCTTTGTTGACTGGGATTTAAAGAGTCTGCTGTTGTTTGTGGTGGTTTTTATCATTACCGCAGATTTGGTTAAAAACCGTCGACCAGTTGGCTTCCCTCCTGGACCCAGAGCTCTACCCATTGTGGGCAACATATTCACATGGGACCAAAGCAGACCCCATGAGAAGCTGATGGAGGTATAGAGTAATATAAAATGATAACCAACTGCAACTGTTTTACTAATCCATGTTCTAACTACTTTCCTTCACTCTCACTCAGTTGGCAAGGACTTATGGAGATGTATTCAGCCTACGATTTGGTCAGAAATGGTCAGTAGTGTTGAATGGATTTGATACTATTAAGGAGGCTCTGCTTACGAAGGGAGACAGCATGGTGGACCGTCCAAAACTTGCTTTGCAGGAAGAAGTAACAGGTGGATTAGGTAGGAAAATATCCTTACACGTAGCCATACATGGGCAAATGTGCTTTTTGTAAACTTACAGAAAATGTTTATGTGTTGCAACATTTGTACAAAGAATAAATATCATTATGACAGCATGCATTCAGGCGAATTATTATTACAAACTATTACCTTTTTTTTTTCTCGCCTTCTGAACAACGGAAAGCCAATACAACAGCAGAAAAAATATAAGTTGTATAAATTTTCACTTTATATTTCCTTTTTTCTACCTTCTTTCTTTGTCATCAGGAATAATAATTAGTAATGGAGACATCTGGAAACAACAGAGGCGTTTTGCACTTTCAACCCTCAAATACTTTGGGTTTGGGAAAACGTCTCTTGAACATGTCATCCTGGATGAATTCAGACATTGTGCGGAAGAGTTCAGGGGTTATAAAGGTAGTTATTTAACGCTTAGAAATACATTCAAAGTGGTCAGCTGTGCAGTTTATATATTTTTCTGTTAAACTCCAAAGAGAAGCCTGTAAATCCACATCTCATCATCAATAACGCTGTCTCCAACATCATCTGCCACCTGGTCTTTGGTCATCGCTTCGAGTACGGGGATGAGAAGTTCAGGAAACTGATGCTACTGTTTGATAAGGCACTCCAGATCGAAGCCTCTATTTGGGCGCAAGTAAGGTTTCCTAAAGCTCATAATGAAACGGTACTGTTGTGTACTGTGCTGTGTGCTACACTTAACACATGCCAGTTATTGGCAACGCTTGGTGGAGGTTTTAAAGTACCCAAATGCCAAGATGAGTTTTGCTGATTTAATTAAAATCAAATGGCAAACAGGGGCACAAATCCAAAAAAATGAAATACTGAAAACCAACAATAAAAACAAAGCAAAAAGCAACAAAACAACAAGAAAACAGTAATGAGGAACTACAGAGGTGGTGTATATATGGGGAACAGAACAAAGGATGGGCTAATGAGCTGATATGGAGCAGGTGTGAATGGAACTACTAGAAGAGAGCAAAGAGGAAAGGAAACGGGCACAAGGGAGCAAAAGAGAGTAACTCAAAAACACTACACTGCCACAAAACAACTACAAAGACACAAAATTACAAAGAAACTAAAAATAATCCAAAACAGAGGGCAGAACCCTGACAGTTAGTAATAGTGGTGAATATAGCAATATTTTTGTTTAGTCACCATTCAGTTAGTCTACTCATTAAATAATCTTTCATCAGTCACTAGGTGCTTTAAATGCATTTACTAAGCCAAAAAGTAAAAGAATCACAAAAATAAACCGCAAAGAACAGAACCAACAAAAAAAATAGGCAATACAATAAACAGCATGAGACAAGACTTGTTAGGAGATGATTAAATTAAAGAAATGCTGAAAAAAATCAAGCCAAACACAAAAAACTCAGTTTGTTATGTTATTACTGTATTCTAAATAACTGTGGTAAAATACATTATTATATGCTTTAAATAAACATACAGCTACACCATTTTGCCTCCATTCAAATCTATTCCTTATCTATTTTGATGTCCCAAAGCGACAGTCAGCTGCATTTTTAACTCATTGTGTCCAGTTTATTTTTGTTTCCAGCTCTACAATTCTTTTCCTCTGCTGATGAGGCTGTTGCCTGGTCCACATCAGACCCTCAAGCAGATCTGGGGAGATGTGAAGAGCTTCATACGAGAGGAGCTGAACCAGCACAAGGAAAACTGGGATTCCACAGAACGCAGAGATTACATCGACTGTTACCTGCAGGAAATTCAAACGGTGACTGCAAGATACAGACAATTCCCATTATAAATTATACTTTTAAATTATATTGCTTTTATGTGTTTGTTTGTTTACACAGTTCAGAGAAAAAGGGGTTATAAGAATTAAAACCTGCATTGTCAAAGTATTTAAATGAAAAAATATATATATATATATAGACATAGGGCCAATAGAGTCTTGTAATTTTGTTTTAAAATAAAAAAAAAAATTAGCGATTTATTTTTCTTTTGCTCAACAATATATTAAGCATCCAGTATTGTAATTAAACAAATCATATTTTGCAAGAAAGGTATTTGTAAATCACTTATTTGAAGAAAAAAAATGAAAATTTAGTCTAATTTTGGCAATAAGAACAATATTTGGTGGCATTCTTTGTTTGAAAACCCAATTAGGGATAATAATAATAATAATAATAATACATTTTATTTAAAAAGGCGCCTTTCTGGACACTCAAGGTCACCATACAACAACATAAAAAGTGTCAGAAAAAAATAAAAATAATAATTATATAGACATTTAAAAACATTTAAAAAATACAGAGGCTGTGACAGTGAAATTGATATTTTTAAAGAGAATAAGCAATCTTAAACAGATGGGTTTTGAGTTGTATTTTAAAATGGAGAATTGAGTCCGTATTTCGAAGTTGGGGTGGTAGAGAGTTCCAGAGGCGGGGGGCAGAGCGGCTGAATGCTCTGCTCCCCATGGTGGTGAGATGGGCGGATAACCTATTCTGTTCTGATGCCGTACTTCCACCCACACCTAATATTCAAAATACGAGCCTAAAGGAAGCCGTGGCCTATGGACATTGGAACATTCAAGTGGAAGGGAGGGGCTGAGTGTGGTTTCAGGTGGATTGACAGCTTGGAGAGCAATCACAGTGATGGTAGCATTTCAAACCATAAAATACCTGTTTGAGCTGCTGACTCTAGAGATACCATAGAATGTGAACAGTTTCTGAGAGGCAAGTTAGTGATTTTGATGATAATATGTAGATTAAACTGTAAGAAAATATGGTCTGTATCTAGACTACCCAAACTCGCTACAGAGGTATGAGGGAGACATAAGCTGCTTTTACCTCACAGTGAGTGACGTCAAAATAACTGCAGAACCGGCAATAATACTGACTCAAAATTTGATGCACTAACCCTGTTAAAATCTGAGGAGGGCGGCAAATAATTAAGAGACAAATGCAGAATTTTAACAAATGTGCAGTGAACTATTTTATGTTTCCAAGGTCACAACCTGCCAATATAAATTAGTCCTTTAAACTGTTATTTTGGGCTGCTGCTGACTCTCTGATTAAGTGAGAGTCCATCGTATCTGTATCTGTGATCTGAGTAAGATTACCATTCCGTAAAAGTTATCATGTTTCCTATTCATTTAATACATAAACCACATAAAGAGTTATTTAAAGTTTCTGCTCTCTTCTCAGGGGGGAGGGAAAGCTTAAGGAATATAGGGACAGTTATTTATGATCTTTCATAACTTATTACTGGGTATCATTTTCTGAAAGCCAGATAAACTTCTGCAAACATTTTGCTGAGTTACATGCCTCCAACTTTTTTACAGCCTATCCCTTTAATACTTTTACTGAGAGTCTAACTCCATCTAACGTGGTTCTAAAATCCCCCTTTGGGTGTGGTGGAAATGTGTTAAATGGAGCACGTTTGCAGCTTTTGTTGAACTTGAGTTTTTTTTTGGCATTTGCAACTTTTTTCCCTCTTATTGTGTCTATTTTCTGTGATTACATACTTTTAATTAGGCAACTTTTTATTGCATTTTTGTTTTGATTGTGTGTTTTGGAGTTTGCTTCATTCGTGTTTGCAGCTTCTTTTGCCGTTTGCAGGTTTTTTTACTGTTCATGTTGAGTAATTTGCTAAATATGACACATTTGCTGGTCACCATAAATGTAGTATCTTACTGTGACATTTATGGAAGCTGAGAAGGGAATATATAGCTACTTTAAACTTATCACTTGTTTGATTATTGCTATATTTTTTAAGGACAGCTAACTGCAAATCATGGATTTATTCATTTATTGCTAATAAACTGTATACATTGATGTCTTATAGTTCTGTCTACATGAAATAGGCGCTATATTTACGATTTACTGCACATGTTGCAGTCCATTATTTGCGTCTAAAACCATCTATTTGGCACTTTCCTTATGTTTAACAAGTGTACATCATCTGATTTAAATCAGTATTGGTGTTTGTTCCAAAAATATTCCAACACTACCAAGACTAACGGAACAGCTCTGCCACTGTGGGGTAGTTCTCCTTTGCTGGTTCAAAAACTGGGCCTTGCAATTTTTCAATCTACTGTATTTTTAGATTGAGGATTCATTAGCTTAGCATTTAATTTGTAAATTGGCCCCTGCACATTTCCTAGCAGGCTGGGAACTGTGTCTGTATGGCGCATTTTTCAAATATTAGATGACTGGAATGGGGTGAGTTGTCCTTTAACCTTCAATGTGAACTTTTTGCAGATCCCACAAACCTCATCTCTGCTTGTTGTAAATGAACTATTAGCTGTATATGTTTGATCTAGCTAGATGTCATTGTGTTCTTTTCTTCTTTTTTTTGCACAGAATAAGGGTCAGGAAGGCAACACATTTGATGAAGAAAACTTGATCATGTGTGTCTTGGATTTGTTTGTGGCTGGCTCAGAAACTACATCCACCACCCTACGCTGGTCGTTTCTCTACATGGCTAAATATCCTGAGATTCAAGGTACAAAAGTCGACTCGAATAAAACTTTATCAGTAGCACCCAAACACACACTCAAAAATATGTTTTTCTAAGTTGCATATTGAAAGTGGAGGTTGTTTGCAGAGAATGTCCAAGCCGAGATAGACAGAGTGATCGGACAATCCAAACAGCCCTCTATGGAGGATCGTGCCAATCTTCCCTACACAGATGCTGTAATCCATGAGATCCTTAGGATGGGCAACATAGCTCCTCTTGCCTTACCACATTCTACCAACAAGGAAGTCCAGCTGGGAGGCTACACCATCCCAAAGGTAACTTCCTGCAAGACTTCAGTGAAATTCAAATAATATTTTATATTTCAACATTTAATGCATATTTAAACACCTTCACTTGTTTCAACAGGGCATACTCATAGTTCCAAACTTGGCCTCAGTGCTGTTTGATAAAAAAGAATGGGAGACACCTTTGGAATTTAACCCCGGACACTTCCTGAATGAGGAGGGCAAGTTTGAAAAAAGAGCTGCTTTTATCCCTTTTTCTGCCGGTAAGGAGTCCCAACAGCTGAACATCTACTGTCTTTCAAACCCCACAGATAATATATACTTTTATGATGGGGTGTAGCATGTAAATTTTTTTGTATTAATCTTCTGAAGTCAAATTTAGAAAACTGTGGCATCTCTTTTGAATTATCCTCTTTTATTATAATACCCCCTAAAGGGGCCTCACTATATTAGAAATTGTAGTCTATAGCTGTGTGATCGGCATTTATACATGTATATATATTCTTTGCAACTTAAGATCATTAGTTGATGACTGAAACAAGAAGTTTAAAGGAGTTATAGCTTTAAAAAAATATATTTTATGCTTTGAACAGCTATTGGGTCAATAATCTAAAAATAGAGTACAACACAACTGCAAACCTGTAAAGATGTGCTTATCCACTTTAACTGGCAGAGTCAGCACAGAGATTATTTAGACAATTGAGCAATGAAGGAGGGTGGCTGACCTTTGTGAAAAAGGAACAATAACTAAAGCTTTGAAAGAAAGTCATGAGAAGTTAAGTTTAAGCCTAATTCCTATTTAGCTTGGGTCCCCATGCATCTAACACACAGGAAATGGTACTCCTTCCTGCTGAGACAAAAAGTGAACTGAGCAGATATCCATTACTACCGTACACGATAAATTAACACATTTTCATAATGATCAAACATCGGGCTGTCAGTATCGTACTGTGAGGAAGAGCTTTCTTTTGCAAAGAATGGAAAACTTGTTAGAGTTAATGAGAAAAAGAAGGTTGCGAAATACAAATTTGAAAAAAAAAACCTTGATTTAATGCCTTTAAAGACTAGAGACTGTGGCAGAGGTCAATTTTCCCCATGAACTATAGAGCTAGATAATGTGGAAATGTTAAATTTTTAGAATGGTCATGCTCAGGCGCCTCGTCTCAGTAGAGATCAAGACCTTTGTGTTAGACTATTTGGATTAACATAAGAAACTGTTGCGACTGAATAGTAAATTAACTCTCTAGATGTGTCTGTCAGGATTTGGTTGAGGTTTGTGGACCCAAATGCAGAGGCAGGGAGGCAGAGGTGAGTTTCTTGATGATTTAATGATGACTAATCGAACAACTGAACATCGAGGCAGGAATTCAAAAATACAAAAATCAAACAAGAAAACAAAGTCAAACAAACCAAAACCATGGAGACATCTGGGGGAAACTCAATGAGACGGAGTTGGAGGAAGTTTGACGAGGAACCAGCACAGAAGAACTGCACAGAGAGAGTATTTACGGGAGACTGAAACAAAGAGAGGCCTAACGAGCAGATTGGGAGCAGGTGTGAAAAGAGCAGAAACAGGAAAGGAGCTAGGGAAAAAAGGAGAACACAAGAGGGCAGCAGAGGGCAACAAATAAAATCCTGGATACTGAAAATAACCAGAAAACACAACAAAATAAGAATTAAAACACTTAAACTAGAAAACATGGAACAAAGTAAAACTGAATACTCAAAAGAAAACATAACAGAACCAAGACTGTGACAGTAACTGAAAAATAACCTGAAAACTCAACAAAATAAGAATTAAACCACTAAAACCAGAAAAAGAGGAGCAAAGTAAAACTGAGGACTCAAAAGAAAACATAACAGAACCAAAACTGTGACAGTGTCTAGTATTAAAATACCCTTAAACAACCCAACAGTTGTGAATGTAGAGTGTGTAGTCAACACCAACACATCCACACCATACCTTTCAACTTCGTTCACTTATTTAAAACCTTTTTTTGTGCCACCTCACTGTAATGAATTACTTTGAGTTGGTCTAAAAAATCTAACAAACATGAAATATTGTGAAAAATATTCAGGTCGATGAATACTATGACATCGCTTGTAGCATCTTATCAATGTATTTTAAATTGAGTGATTGCTTCAGATTATTTGATCATTGTAGTTAATATTGTAAAGTTGGCTTATTCTGCATGTTATTGTATAGATATATCTAGCCCAGAGTTTTAAGGATAAGTGATCATTTACTGACAGTAGCACCTCTCCTCTAATTTTTGTCCTAGGAAAGCGTCTGTGTCTTGGGGAGAACCTGGCCAGGGTTGAACTTTTCCTCTTCTTCACGTCCTTCATGCAGCACTTCACATTCTCAATGCCAGCTGGAGTGGAGGCTGTCATGGATTACCGAGCAGGAATCACTCTGGCACCAAAGCCATATGAAATATGTGTTAAGCCACGCTAACATCAGCTTTGTTGTTATTTTTAAAGAAAGGGGTAAAAAGCTTACCTGCTAAATCCTCTTTCCCAAAATGTCCCTAAGTGATTTTGCTGACGTGTAAATATGAGCCGATTTGAGCAGTTTGAATGCATTTTATGAAAACAACCTGACTGCAGACCTGCACTGTCAGGACCCTCCGTTGCAGACCTGTAAAATGGGGTTCACTGCACTGTCAGGACC